TAGCCAGACTAGCTGAGAAGCCGCGCCCCAGGCTCAGGGAGAGAGCCAGGCTCGATACATGACGTGGAGAGTGACTGGCGAGGGCTCCCAACGTCTGCCTTGGGCTCCCACATGTACATGCACACGAGTATACATGCAGCTACGCACACGTGTGCCTACACATTTGAACATGCATCTACACGTGAACATGCCACACATGCACACACATGCAAAAGAAGACCAGAAAACACCGACAGATGTAAACCCAGGTCATTGCTCTCCAGGCCCGTCACGCACAAAGGTTCACATGACGACTGTTAGAAACTGGAGTCATACATCATTTTCAAACCTGAAGTGAGGGAGACAGTGTATGCTTTTAGCATTAGCACTCAGGAGGCTGAGACAGGTGGATTTCTTTGGTACCGACGTGCAGGACAGCCAAGGCTACATAGTGAGACTCTGCCTCAAAAAAATTAAAAATAAGAACAAACAAACAAAAAAACCTGGAAATAATTCAATTCGGAGGCCTTAGAGTCAGTTTTTTTTTTTTTTTAAAGATTTATTGTATTTTGTGTGTATGAATGTTTTATGTGCTTGTATGTCTGTGTATCACAGGCATACTTGGTGCCTGAGGAAGCGGTAAAACCTCCATGGGGGTGCTGGGAATTGAACCTGGGTCCTTTGCAAGAATAGCGAGTGCTCTTAATGTTGGGTGTGGTGGCGCACACCTTTAATCCCCGCACTCGGGGGTTAGGTGGTGAGTTCAAGCCTGGTCTACAAAGTGAGTCCAGGACACCCAAGGCTACACAAAAAAAAAAAAACCCTGCCTCATAAAACAAAACCAAACCAAACAAAAAAACAAAACCACAAAAACAAAACAGCAAGTTCTTCTAGCCAGCGGGCCAGCACGCCAGCCCTTTGTTATTATTTTATATACGTGGTTTTGTGCTTTGATTTGCGCCTTGGCTTTTGTTTACTCACGCCTGTCTACAGTAATAGCCTTTCTTTTGTGCTAAACTTAGAGTGAATTAGACCAAATCTACAGGAAAACAGTATGAAATTATGTGGATATGTGAATGTTTGCAACTTGGAAAATATTACAGCAGCACTTTTGGCATATTTAATTAGGTCTGTTCTCACTAGGGTCGGAGAAAATGGTACTCAGCTTGCATTCCCCCGACAGTGAGAACAAAGGAGGCTCAGGGTTGCGGTGGACGCCTGGAATCCCCACACTGGGGAGCAAAGATGGAAGGAGTTCTAGGACAGAGAGAGATATAATAAACAGTCTCAACGAACAAACAAACAAACCAAAAAATCGGAGGGAAAAGGATGGAGAGAGAAGGAGGGAGGGATAAAGAGAGAGAGAAAGAAAGGAAGAAGAGGAGAGAGGCATGCAATCACTGAGGAACCTGTAGGTAAGTACCAACCTCCTTCATCCTTGGCTACCTGTTGCTCTTCCTGAAGGGGGAGAGAGGCATGACCCAGTAGTTAAGATCCGAGCTCTGAAGTCATCCTGACCTAGGTCAAGTCCTTGTTTGTTCTTTTGTTTTGTCCTGTTTTTTAATTGTTAAGTTCAAGAACAGTTGTTTTTTTTTTTTTTTTTTTTTTTAAGAGCTTAAGAGAAAAACAACAGGGCAGGCAAGCTATAAGTCCTGGCAGCTGCCAGAAGGAGAGAGATGGAGCAGAGAAAGATACTTTTTAGTTAGCTATGGAAATCAGCAATAGCAGAAGCTGGCCTTGGGGAGGGTGCTTCAGAGGAAGACTGAGAAAGCTCATGATACCAGGAAAAACATACCCAGGCTTTGGCAAGAATTTGAAAGAAAGAAAGGAATAAAAAAGATGGAAAAAGGAAAAGTTCCACTTTGGGCAGGCTACACAGCAGAAGCTCCACAGGAACTGCTCTTCTTCAGTTTTCTGAACTAGGACCTGGCTATGTAGCCCAGATGGTCTTTAAACTCAGCATCCTGATGACCTAGCCTCCTGAGTGCTGGGATTACAGTTATGGACAGTATACCATCTTGGCCAGCTTTGTTTCTTTCCTGCTAGTCATATAACCTCAAGCAAGTCCCTTAATTCTTCCCCAACCTCATCTACAGACTGAACTCACTTGTTATTTTTGTGTGCATTTATAAGATTCAAAGTCAAGGTCTATAGTTTTGTTTTTTGAGACAATGTCTCAGTACTGAGACTGGGCTGGCCTCCAACTTGGAACAGACCGTTCCCTGTCTCTCCAGTCCTGGAATTACAGGCTTGGGCCACCACGACCTCGAAATGGACAAACAAATACAGAGAAGAACCACTTCCGCTAGAGGGATGGGAGTGAGGCCAGGCACGCCATCTGAGAGCTGGCCATCTAGGACCCCGTAAATCACAGTAAGAGGCAAGGATTTTATTCTCAAAAGATGCCAAAGGCCGGGTGTGGCGGGGAATGTCTTTAATCCCAGCACTTGGAGGCAGAAATAAGACCTATGTGAGTTTGAGGCCAACCATGAGAAACCCTGTGTGTACAGTACATATGTATGATATATACATACATATATGTATACACACACATACTGCAAAGACATTGGCATGTTTGGTTTTTTTTTTTAACCTTTGTTTATTTACCTGTGTATATGTGTGTAAGTATACCACAACTTGCATGTGCAGGTGAGAGAACGTACAGAAATCGTTTATTTCCTTCAATCTTAGGGATTGAACTGGGGTCATCACGCTTGGGGTCAAGCACTTTACCTGAGCCATCTCGTCGGCCCCAGAGTGTTTCGTTTTTTAAACTGCTAGTAAGGCGGAGGACAGAGGAGCATGTACAGTATACACTGTGGAAATAGTGTCTAGGGACATCCCATTGTTTGTGGGCCCCCTCTGGTGGCACTGGTGGTTCAGTTTGCATGGTTTCATGTCCGTAAAAGCAAAAATACAATGGGCAATTAATCTAGCCTTTCACTCATCGGATACTTACTAGGTGATGCATTGTGTTCTATTGTCAAAATACACCCCCCCCCCCCCCACAAGACATCCAAGTCGGATGTTGGACATGATGGTGCACACCTGTGATCCTAGCACCTTGAGAGAGGAGGCAGAGGAATCGGGAGTTCAAGCCAATTGTCAACCACAAATCTAGTTGGAAAGTTAGCCTGGGTCACAGGAGACCTTATGTCAACAAAACAAAACCCCTCCAAAGCAAAATCCAAGACCTCATGGAGCTTATATCCTAGCGGAGAGGAAGATGGCAAGCCAAACCCATAAGCAACTTGTTGGATAAACGTCATGAGAAAAATAATCGGTAGGTAAGAAAGCAGAGGAAGATAATAGTGCTCCCATTTAAAGCAGAGTGGGAGTCGGTGTCATCGAGAAGGCACACTGGAAGGTCGATGGGAAGGAGATGACAAGGTGAATAACACAGCTGTTATCAGGGAGCACTCCAGGCAGAGGGAGCAGAAAGCAGGCAGCACCTGAGCCAACCTGCGGGCTTGAAGAACAGCAGAGGCCCCTGTGTCTAAGTGGAGGGACGACAAGATGAAGTCCAAGTCCAAGCTTATAGCCCTCCTCGCTGAGTTAAGTCCTATGGTCATGTAGGCGATGTTGGGACTGTCGGTGATGCAGAGATTTTGGCTTCACGCCGAGATAGAAGGTCGCTTGGAAGAAGCACATGATCTGATTAAGGCTCTAAAAGGAGACTCGAGCTTCTGTGGTGAGGGATGGGCAGCAGGCAAATGAACAGGGTTCTTAGGATAACAGACTGACTTGTGGTTTATACCAACACCGGTGGTAAATGAGCAGATTCTGCAAAGACTTTGAAAAAAGCATCTGTGTTAATTAACTGTGTTAATTAGATGTATGTGACAAAGAGTGGTGAAGAGCCTTACCAAAATTAGTTGCTTAGAAAATCGTTGCAATAGAAGCAGTTAACAAAAGTCTTTGTATTTGTACTGAAAAGCTAGTTTTTTTGTTTTTTTAACTTTGTGGTTAATCTAATGTATTTGTAATTTTCAGTCTTTTTCTTGAGGGTCTTTCTCCCTTAGATTGAATGTACTGAAGACTCCCCAGTTTTCGTCCACATATGAGGTGTTCGTTTGTTTGTTTGTTTTGTTTGTTTTTCAAGACAAGGTTTCTCTGTGTAGCCTTGTCCTGGATTCGCTTCATAGATGAGGCTGGCCTGGAACTCACAGAGATCTGCTTGCCTCTGCCTACCTGAGTGCTGGCATTACAGGTGTGTACCACCATGCCCGGCTTTGAGTTGTATTTTAAAATTAATGAAGCATTAAAAAAACAAAAAAGTTCCTGAGCTGACAGTAGTGCACACCGTTAATCTCAGCACTCAGGAGGCGGAGCAGGCAGATCTCTGAATTCGAGGCCAGCCTGGTCTACAGCGGGAGTTCCAGGACAGCCAGGGCTACCCAGAAAAGCCCTGTCAAGGAAAAAACACAAACCAAACAACAACTACAACAAAGCCCCCCGCCCCCAAAGTTCACACAATGTGCAAAACATGGAGGCAGCTGCAAGGGTGGTATAATACTAGGTATAAACTAAATTTTCGGTTAAAAATGTTCACTTTGAGCTAGCCTTTCAAGTGCCTTCAAAACGTCCCATCCATTTTTCCTTTCCTAGCTTTTCTAGAAATCGGCCAATAGCAGTCATTGTTTCAACCTCACCGTCCCTTTACGGTAGGAATCACACGCATTTTGAAGAGCGTACTTAAAGAGAAGGATCTTGAGTTCGAGACCAGCCTGAGCTAGGTAATGAAACTTTACTTTCTTGGTGGAGGGGGGGGGGGAGAAGAGGGAAAGGAAAGGCGGGTGTGAGTACTTTTCACGCAGGTTGCAGCAGCTGAGCAGCATCGGGGTCCTGCGAAGCTCTCAAAAAAGGCGTCGAGCCCGCGAGACCCAGGGAGTCCACCACGAGCCCTCGGCAGGCGGAGGGGGCGGGACCGGGCCTTTCTCCGCCCCGAGAAGCGTGACGCGAACTCCGGGTTCGGGCGGAACGGGGTGTGGATTGTTAGGCGACCCCGTACGCCTACTTCCGGTTCCTAGGGATGCGCATCCGGGTCACGCTAACGCCGCGGTTTCCGCCACTCTGTTGGTTCCAGAGTGGGTCTGAGGCGGTCCCATGTCGCGCCGTGGGGCGTCTGCAGCCGTCTGGTGAGTCCCCGCCGGCGGCGGCGTGAGCGCGGCGACTCGGGTGCAGCCTCCAGGGCCACGGCTGCCCGCAGCGTTCCTCCGGGGCGTTCTGGGTGGGGGTCCCCTCGCCGGTCCCTCGCCGCTGCGGCTCTCCCCGTCGCGCCGGCCTCGCCCCTTCTCACCTCAGCGCCTCAGCCCCGGCTCCGCCTCGTCTTCTCCTTCGCCTCGGGTGGTTGGGGAGCGTTGGGGTTCGGCTCCGTCCCCCAGCTCTCCTCACCCGTGTCCCTTACCCCGTCCAGGGACTAGTGGATGACAAGAGTTGTTTTGCTTGCCTTTCCGGAGCGAGACGAGGGCTAATTCAAACCCCCGATCGGGTCGACCTCTCCAGCCCGCGGCGAGTTCTGCCTGGAGGCGCGAGGGTGGGCTGAGCCCTGGCCGCCCCCCTAGCTGGAGGACAACAAAGGCGTGCCCAGTTCCTCGCTTTGCCTCGGTTTTCTGGGCGCTCTCAACGGCAGCGAACAGGTGGCTGGCTCGCTGTCGGGCTTGTGTGAGCTCGTTAATTGACAGGTCTCGAGTACGTCCTGTCCGTTTTGTGTCCTCATGTCTCACGAGAATGGATGTGCCCAGCTGGGGCAAAAATTCGGACGTTCTGCACTCTGCATGGATTCAAAGTTAGAGGACCGAGGGCATCGGGAGATCAGCTCCAGGTTTATAACCTTACTTTTAAAACATTTTAGTGTGGAGTTAGTTTTCTGCTGAAATTCGCCACTGTAACTCAAAGTAACTTTCCTTCCAAGCCAGATAAGAGTTGTGAGAGTATTCTTTTAACTTGTTTTTCCTTAGCGTTGTTAACATAGTTTAGAAACCATCATTTTCTCATTTTGACATTTAAGACACCTTACATTCTCTGGAGGTTTTAAATCATTCTATAATGTGAAAAGGGAAAGACCTAACAATGGTTAATGTCCTGTTTCTTAAATTTTGTGACCTAAGATATACTAGAGGTTTGGATAATCACCCCCCCCCACGCCCCACCTTTAGTTTTTTTAGTGTTTGACTCATTTGCCTTTTCAGTCTAAAATTCAGTATTAGTAATTAAATACGAACAGAACAAATGCAACATTTATTATTGGCTTTTCCTTTTTTTTGGTCTGGTCTCCTTCATGCAATCATATGAGAGTATAGCATTGTATGGCATATTCCAAAATTGGGCTGCTCTCTTCTATTTTTAGCAAGAACTTTGCAGGTTGTCCATGTTAGTCCTAGATGCCACAGGGAAAGACCCTTCTGGTGGGCTTTCAGGATTTAACTGGTGAGGGAAACCCCTGGGAAAGTTTATCCGTCCTCCCCTGCACTGACACTGACTCCTCTCTTCAGCCTGATCTCATTTCCCATCTTTGAAAATAACCCCAGTAACTGTAGCTGGCTTCAGTGGCTTCTTTACCTCTAGGTTCAAAGTAGTTGCTGCACAACTTTCAACTTTTTTATTTCTGAACTTTATATTTCTTTCCTCCCCTCCATTACCTTCTTTCCTTCCTTTTTTTTTTTTTTTTTTTTTGTGACAGGGTTTCTCTGTATAGCCTTGGCTGTCCTGGATCCACTTTGTTGACCATGCTGGCTTCAAATTCGCAGTGCTCTGCCTCCCTGAGTGCTGGGATTTTATGTATGTTGTCACTGCACCTGGCTCCCTCCTCTGTTTTTGTGGTATGTTTTGACCCCAGGCTGGCCTGGAACTTTTGGAATTTGCTATGTAGTTGAAAATGGCCTTGAACTTGGATTACAGGTCATGCCATCATGTTTAATTGTTTCTTAAGCATATTTTCAGTCTAAACCTAGTGAAGTTTTTATAGTCTCTAGCCAAAGGGAATTTAAAGTTCAGATGTACTCTTCCATTGATAACCAGCTTTAAGAATTAATGATGATTTTTTTCCAAGGTCTGCTTTTCTTTTTAATGTGTATGTGTGCCTGGTGTCCTCAGAGGCCAGATTCCCTGGAACTGGAGTTACAGATGGCTGTGAGGTTCTATGTGGGTACAGGGACTCAAGCCTGGTTCCTCTGGAAGAGTAGCCAGTGTCGTTAACCACTGAACCATCTCTCCAGGGCACCAAGATCAGTTTTTAAAATTCTGCACTTGCATTCAGAGTGATGAATTTTAGTTCTTTGAAAGCTGTAGACTAATGAGCATGATATTGTCTTGGTGGGTCACATTGATGGGTTTAGGTGATAGGAATTCGTCATGCCAGTTGTGGTGGCACATGTCTTCAATCTCAGCACTTGGGAGGCAGAAGCAGGTAGATATCTGAGTTCCAGGCCAGCCAGACTTGCATAGTGGGATTGTGTCTCCAAAACAAAATCTGTAACCTGGATTTGCCTTTTAAAAGGGACCAGAGAAACAAACAGCTAGTGCGCAAGTAGAACTTAGATTTTTAAAGTGATACTATCCTGTTGTTGCAAAGAAGCTCCAAAATGAAATGATGATGATGATGATGATGATGATGATGATGATGATGATGATGATGATGATGATGATGATGATGATGTCGTCTTCACTGGAGCAGAGCACCGACAGCCTCTCTAGGTCCTGAAGAATCTGCCTTTCTTACTCAGCTGCTGTTTTGGTTGCTGTTCAATTGCTGTGAGGAGCCCTCATGGCCAAGGCAACTCTGAAGAGAAAAAAAAAGCATTAAACTGGGGGCTTTTTTTTTTTTTTTTTTACACATTTTTAGAGGGTTAACCCTGATTACCATGCAGGAAGCAGACAGGAGCGAACTTGCAAGAGCTGAGAAAGCCTGGTCCTTGCCTCTTGAAGCCTTAAGCCCACCCCCAATGACACACCTCCAACCAGGCTGTCCTCCAACAAGGCCATACCTACTCCAGCAAGACAGCATCTCCCACTCCTTCCAGAACAGTTTCATGAAGGGCTGAGCATTTAAACCTCTGAGCCTACAGGGTCCATTTTTATTCAGACCGCTACCTCTGCCAGCTCTCACGTCATTAAAGACTGTGCTTTTAAAGCTCTGAAGAGAAATCACTGTTGGTTTTCTGTAGCACTTTCTACTTTAGGAATTTTTTTGTTTTTTCTTTTTTGTTTTTGAGACATGGTTTCTCTGTGTAGCCCTGGCTGTCCTGGAGCTTGCTCTGTAGCCCAGGCTGGTCTTGAACTCACAGAGATCCGCCTGCCTCTGCCTCACCAAGCGCTGGGATTAAAGGTGTGCGCTACCATCGCCTGGACCTAGGACTTGTTTTAGTTTTTAAATCTGAGAATTCAATTCAAGAAGCATTTCTGGGGGCCGGAAAGATAGCTCAGTGGCTGTTCAGTTCCTGGCACCCACATGGCAGCTCACAACTGTCTGTAACTCCAGTTCCAAGGGATCTGACACCTTCACACAGACATACATGCAGGCAGGACATCAATCTACACAAAATAAAAATAATTAAAAAATTAATATAAACCATTTCTGCAGCAAAACAACAACAACAAAACAGCATTTCTGCGTGTCTTACACCTACCACATTTTCTGGTTTTGGCTTGATCATTTTTGTTTGTTATTTGTCAGCTTACTTGCTACTCTGCTTTATCACAGGGTTTTAATTTTTTCTCTTGAGTACCATGATATTGAAGACTGATGCAGTTTTAAATATTTAAGAAGCAGATTGTACCTTTAACACGTCCTTACCACTGTACCTCCATTTTGTGATGTGCCTGTGCAACTTTATGATCTCACCCTCTATTTTCACAAATGAAAGGCTCTCATGAAGCTTTTTAGTAGTTTTTTTGTCAAAAAGATTCGTGTTTATTGCATGTGAGTACATGTTATGGAGTTTATCATTTTAAGTGGAACAAGACTAGTTCAAATAGAAATGTACAGTGTTAGGTGGGATATTGTTTCATAAATTCACCTAAGTGGTTTATATCAAAAGGCTGATTCTATTTTGTTTTGTATTCTCTCTCTCTCTCGTTCTCTCTCTGCCTGCCTGCCTGCCTACCTACCTAATTTTGGTTTTTCAAGACAGGGCTTCCTTGTGTGGCCCTGGCTGTCCTGGAACTTGCTCTGTAGACCATGCTGGCCTCAAACTCAGAGATCTGTCTGCCTCTGCTTCCTGAGTGCTGGGATTAAAGGCATGCACCTCCACACCCCCCTAAAGGTTGAATTCTATTTATAGTGAAATATAAAGAAAAACAGCTGGACTTTATATTCTGATTAACCTAAAAATGTAATTGCAAGCTATGGCACACACCTTTAATCTCAGCCCTCAGAAAGGCAGAGGCAAAGGGATGTCTGTGAGTTTGAGACCAGCCTGGTCTACAAAGTGAGTCTAGGACAGCCAAAGCTACACCTGTCTCAGAAAACAAACAAACAAACAAAAAACCCCAAAACAACAAAAGACTAACTAAATACTAACAATTAAATACTAACTTCACTGGACTGATCTGTTAATTAACTTAAGCCACTATTCCGGTATATGTAGTGACACACACCTATTATCCCAGCACTTGGGAGATGGAGGCAGGAGATCAAGAGGTCAAGGTCATCCTCATCTATATAGAAAGTTGAAAGCCAGTCTGGGATATATGACCTTCATCTCAGAAAAAAGAAAAAGAAAAAAAAAAAGTCAGATTTAAACTATAGACATTTTGTGATTGGAAATGATTTTGCACAGTCAAAAGGGAAAAACATTGTAGACAAATATTATGAAGCCCATGCTTTAATGTCTGATTTGTTTGTTTTTCAAGATAAGGTTTCTTTGTGTATCCCTCCCTGACTGTCCTGAACTCACATTGTAGACCAGGCTGGCCTCAAACTCATAGAGATCTGCCTATCTCTGCCTCCCTGAGCTCTGGGATTACAGGCATGTAGGAGCTTAAAGAAGCTCCTACAGATTGTGGTTGGTGCTCTGTAGCTTACCAGTTTGTTAAGATTTGTACCAACTAGATTTTTTTTTTTTCTTTCAGTAAAGTAGTGAACAGTAATCTTTGTAGTGCAGTTCTTTAGTGAATATAATTCAGGTGCCTACTTTGT